AAATACAAGGGGCAAGTGATGATTCTGGTCTTGTCAGCTGAAAATGTGATGGTATCGCATACCTTGGTGAGACAGACACTGGGGTTTGAAAGGTTCAGAGGAGGCTGGGCGCAGTGGCCCATGCCTGTAATCCCAGCACTCTGGGAGGCCAAGGTGGGTGGATCACCTGAGGTCAAGAGTTCAAGCCCAGCCTGGCCAACATGATGAAACCTCATCTCTACTAAAAATACAAAAATTAGCCAGGCATGGTGGTGCACACCTGTAATCCCAGTTACTCGGGAGGGTGAGGCAGGACAATTGCTCCAACGCAGGAGGCAAAGGTTGCAGTGAGCCAGATCACACCACTGCACTCCAGCCTGGGTGACAGAGTGAGACTTTGTCTCAAAAAAAACCAAACACAAACAAAACAAACAAACAAAGAAAATTAGCCAGGCATGATGGTGCGTGCCTGTCATCCCAGCTACCTGGGAGGCTGAGGTGTGAGGATCCCTTGAGCCTGGGAGGTCAAGACTGCAATGAGCCATGGTTGCACCACCACACTCCTGCCTGGCCAACAGAGTGAGACCCTATCTCAAAAAATAAATAAAAATAAAGTCAAATGAAGAAAGAGAGATTCCATGGTGGGGAGAAGGGAAATGAAGACCCGGGGAAGGAAACAACTCCATGTACCTCACATCACTAAGTTCACGAGAAGAGCCAGGAAGAGACTCCAGGCTTCCTCAGCCAAGCTTCAGAAAGGCTGTCCTGAAACGTGCAGGGTGCAGCAGAGCGAGGCCCTGGACTTGGAGAACACCCACTCCCATTCCCACTTGTGTGTTCCCCTAAAAATGTTTCTGCCCTTTGGTTTCCTCATCTGTAGAACAATAATGGTTATAACATACATTAAGCCTGATTCATTAAGCATTTTGCCTTTCAGATCATGTAATCACTGTAACACCTATAAAATAGGTATTACTACTAATCTCATTTTATAACAAGAAAACAGAGGTTCAGAAAGGCTGAGTGAATTAGTTGCAGTCACTTGACCCTGAAATGGTGAAACCAGGTGTCCAGCGGGAGTCTGGACACTATTCTTAAGCCTCTTACTTTTTGTATTCTTGTGAGGCTCACATGACAATCCACCCCTACCCTCCAATCCCCACTCATCCTCCACTAATCTGGCCTGAAACCCTTTGCACACTCTGCCAAGCACCAGCCCAACCATAGGCAACTTAACAACTCCCTCTTGCACAGGCCACGCGCTCTCAGGCTTCTACTGACAGTGTCGCTGCGCCCAACGAACTCCTCCTTGGGTCTCAGCCTGACAGTGCCTCCCTCAAGTCTTCTCTGATCACCCAAGTAAACTTAGTTGCTGCTTCCTTAGTGCTCTTAGAGCACCTGATAACTCTCATTATTGGCATTTATTACACTGTATCCTAATTAGGGGTTTGCAGTTTGTTTTTTTCCAAGCATACTGTGAGTTTCTCAGGGGCAGGCATTGAATCTTTATCAACTTTGTATTCCTAGCAAGGAAAAAATGGAAGGAAGGGGAAAAGGAAGGCAGGAAGGGAGGGAGAGAGGGAGGAAAGGTGGGCAAATGCAAGAGACTGCTACATAGAACATATTAGATGGTATCATTTGAAATTGCCAATATTCTATGCCTTCTTGTCTACAAAATGGTAACTTTATATTTCACCTGGTATAATGAGGGTCGGTTTCCCCACTAGCCAGACCCATCCGAGTACATCCACTCACCCTCTAGTAGTCCCTGCTCTCTGTCTTTTGTTTTGGGACAGTTTATATGCGTCTTGACCACACAAAATGGTTAGGATGGGGGCTCACCAAGGAGGGTGGTTCTTGGGCAGTGTACAGACCAAAATTGATGGGGGCTTTCTGTACCTCTTCTCATTGAGACCACCTTGAGAGGTCCCTCTCTGAGTCCCCTCTGAGCGGGGAGGAGAAGGCAGACTCAGTGATGATGGGGAGTGGTCTGCAGGTGGGGGCCCAGCCACTCTAGCACCAGCCACCATCAGAGCTTGACTGTCTCTCCGGGAAGACCTCCCTCGCCTCTCACAGCACCCCAAATCTGATCCTCTTGTCTTAGGGTTTGACCTCCTTCAAGGCCTAGCCCCCTATCTCCTCCTTCCCCTTTTCCAGCCCAAGGGACCCTCATCACTGGAGGGTGGGAGAAAAGGGCCTCTTCCTCTACATTCTTTTCAATTTTGGTTATGACTTAACGTCTTTGCTCCACCCAGTCCTGGCCTGCTATTTGGATCCTCCGAGTTTAGAAGTTAAAGAGAAAAAAGGGTCTTTTCCTGCTTCTCCGCATCTTCACTAGATCCTAATTCCCAAATTCTCCTTAAGGCCAAGGGTCTCCTCTGTCTACTGATACAAGTATCAGGAAATACAAGGGTTGCAGGCAGGACACAGACTAACTTTTCCAGAGTTGTTTCACCTCAGGCCAACGTGACTATCTCGGTCAAAAAGGCCTTTGAAGTGCTCCTAAAACCATCCTATGAGATTCAGCACACACACTGCCTGGAGTGCTGGCATTCACTACCATCCCTTAAAACCCTCAGTCTGGCTGCATTTCTGGAGAGCTGGCACTTTAGAGGTTGACCTCTCTCCACATGCTGTCTCCAAGCCCTCTCCTCTTCCCCTCGATTTTTAAAGTGTTAAATGAACATTTGCTGGCAATTTGCTCTGCAGGGTCTGGCCAAGGCAATTATCTATTAAAATCCAAGAAAATGATGCATCCTGGGGACTGAACGTCAACAGCAACCAGGCCAGGGTAGGCTGGTGGTGGTGATTTGTTAACTTCATCGGGGGCAGGGGCATACACGGGTGGCATCTGTCAAAGGAAGGGAATGGCTCCTCTGGGGCCTGGCTAGGACTGCTCAGAGTCTCCTCCTCATCACCAGGTCTGGGAAGGGGTCCCATCTCCTGTCTCTCCTCTTCCCTTGTCCTCAGGCCTGTGGCTTCATCTCTGTTTTCCTCTTCTCTGACGTCCCCAGCCTGGCCTCTTGCCGGCCCCTCTCCAGTGTCTCCCTCTCCTGTTTTATGCCACCTTTCCGTCTCTCTGTTTCTCGACTTCCCTGCCGCTAGCCCCTTCTTGGGAGGTGGCACCTTCCATGAAGCCATAGGCCATGTGGTCTCAGGAAGAGGTAGCCAGGACTTTAACTGACTGTCCTCATGGCCCAGGAGAAGTCACCAATCACTCTGCACCTCTGTTTGAACAAAGAAGTTGGGACAAGTTACTTTTCAACAGCTTTATTGAGGTATGTAATTAATGTATAATAATCTGCACATATTCAAAGTGTATAATCTGATTAGTCTGACAGATGTATTAGCATACACCCACGGAAGCATCACCACCATTGAGACAATAAATATGCCGGGTGCAGTGGCTCACACCTGTAATCCCAGCACTTTGGGAGGCTGAGGCTGACAGATTGCTTGAGCCAAAGAGTTCGAGACCAGTCTGGGCAACATGGTGAAACCGTCTCTACAAACATACAAAAATGAGTCAGGTGTGGTGGTGCGGTGTGCGCCTGTGAGGAGGCTGAGATGGGGGGCATCCCTTGAGCTTGGGAAGCTTGAGGCTGCAGTGAGCCACAATTGCACCACTGTACTCCAGCCTGGGTGACAGAGCAAGGCCTTGTCTCAAAAAATCTAAAATAAATAAATAAATAAATAAATATACCCACCACCTCAAAACGTTGCTCATGCCCTCATGTCCTCCTACCCCTCCCAGGTCCCTCCCCTTGCCAGGCAACCACTGATCTGCTTTCTGACACTATAGTTTACATTTTCTAGAATTTGTACATCAGTGGAATTGTACAGTATGTGCTCTTTTTCGTCTAGCTTCTTTCACTGAGCATAATGAATTTGGGGATTCATCCACATTCTATCATGTATCAATAGTTCATTCCTTTTTATTGCTAAATAATATCCCACCATATGATATACCACAGATTCTTAATCCACTCCCCTGTTGATGGACATTTGTGGTGTTTCCAGTTTGGGCCTATGACAAAGCTGCTGGGGTCCTTCATGGGCAAGTATTTATGTAGACACGTGACGCTCATAACTCCTTAGGGGGCTGTGCTCACTTTCTTGGCAGCTCAGCAGCTGCCAAGACCAGATTCATCCTTTTCCCTCCCTGTAATTCAGCCGAGGATGAAACGGGCAGGCAGCATGCTTGAGTTTGAACCCTGCCCACCACTTGCAATGTGACCTTGTGCACCTCTTGGTATCCTGGCTTTCTTTATGTTCCTACCTCCATGGGTTGTGTGAGCATTCCATGACCGTATGAATCTGAAGCATTTGGTGCAATGCCCAGCACAATGTTCAGAAATAGTAGCTGTTCTCATTTTGCAGGCACCTCTGAGAAGATCTATACAATCTGGAATGGGCTTCCTCTAGAATCTCTGAGCAGTTACCCTAACCCTTTGAAGTGGCTCCATTTCACAGAGGAGTAACTGAGTCCCAAAGCAAAGAGTGACTTGAGTAGGGTTTATCTTTGATTTGGGAGTGAATGCAGGCATGTCCTGATACCCAGCTATGTCCTATTTGGGTGATGGGCAGGGAGGAAGTCGGAATTTTCCAATTACTTCTCAGAGTGTCTCCTGGAGAGCCCTGAGAAGTAGCTCAGCACTTCTAACCAGAAGACTATGAGTAGTAGCTAACCAGAAAACTATGAGCCCCTAAGTGTTCCTACAAAACCACACTCATTTAGTCAGTTCCCCCGGGCTCAGCAACCTGGAAACCCCATAAAATCACAGTCAAATCAGGAGGGAAAGAGATAAGGGTAGGGAGGCTGCCTACCCTCCTCCCCTGCCCCACAGGGCTCTAAGTAGCCCAGAAAGGGGCTTTGTGTGTCTTAGGCAAGCAGGTCGATCTCTGGAAGGTACTCACGCCATCTGGCATCTTTACAGACCAGGCCTCCGAACTCTGGCTCTGCCCCTTCCTAACTGTGTCAGGGTAGGCCAGGCTTGCCATGGCAACACACAACTTGTAAGTTCAGTGGTTTAACACAATGAAAGTTTATTTCTCATTTACACTCTATGAACAACATAGGTGTGAGGGTGCCAGAGTCTTAATGCTTCCGCTAGAGCTAACGCACATCAGTTCTGCCACGTTTTATTGGTTAAAGTTGTTCACATGTCCACAGCTAGCATCAAAGAAGAGTGAGAACATGCAGTCCTACCTTGTGCCAGAAGGCAGAGAGCCGGAAATATTTGGAGACAGCACTAATGACTACTACACTAGCCAAGTGACCTTTGAGCTCATTTCCTCTTCTGCAAAATGGGGACGAGAACAGTATTTGCCTCATAGATTGTTGTGAGGATTAAAAGAGAAATGTTATGTAACACCCTTGGCACAGTGTGGCACACGGGTGAGGTTGAGGCCCGGGGTATTTGTGTACAATGAGGACCCAGCATGCTCAGCCTCCCTCCTCCCCTGCAAACACTGACCCCGGACCCCGAGGCCCGTCACTGAGTGGTTAGCAGAGGATGGATAATTTTCCGCAAATCTGTCTTCTCCCACCCTCTGGATCTGACACTGACCACTTGCGCCAGGCAAACTTCATTGCCATAAACTATCCCCCGCTCACCCCCAGCTTCATTCACACTCATGTGAGACTTCTTATCCCTCATGTGACTGCTTTATGACAAATCTGCCCTTCTGTCCAGTTAGAGGATAGGAGTCCATTGAAGAAGGGATAGAGAATCCAAGAGAAATGTGAAGGAAATTAACATCCATTTTTTGCTGAGCACTGTGCTGGATGCTTGACCCACGTTACCTCATTTAAACCTCATAATAGTCCTGTAATGAAGTGAGTATGATTATCCTCATTTTGAGATGTGGGAGCTGATGCTTGGAGTAGTTACACACCGGCCCAGGGTTACATAGCTAGTCAGTTGCAGGGCTGGGATTTGAACCCAAAACTCTGGGACACAGAAGACCACACTTCAGCTTCTGGGCTGTCTTTTGCCATTTCATTCAGACTTTTTTTGTTTGTTTGTTTGTTTGAGACAGAGTCTTGCTTTGTTCCCCAGGTTGGAGTACAGCGGTGCGATCTCAGCTCACTGAAATCTCCACCTCCTGGGTTCAACCAATTCTTGTGCCTCAGCCTCCTGAGTAGCTGGGATTACAGGCATGTGCCATCACATCTGGCTAAGTTTTGTATTTTTTAGTAGAGGTGAGGTTTTGCCATGTTGGCCAGGTTGGTCTCGAACTCCTGGCCTCAAGCGATCCACCCACCTCAGCCTCCCAAAGTGCTGGGATTACAGGCGTGAGCCTCCACACCTGGCCCAGACCTAACTTTTATCCAGGCTATAAACTCACCAACAGCCCAACCATAGATGTTTAGCCTTTGGGTTCTATTGTGCTGTTGTGGAACTGCCCTGCTTCTGGAGTACAAGGACTAGGTTTTTAGTCACTGCTCAGTCCCTATCTTACTGTGCAACTTTGGACAAGTCCTTTGACCTCTCTGGGCCTCAGTTTCTTCACTGAAAATGAAAGGGCTAGACTAAATTTCTCAGGTTCTTTCCACATCTAGGATTTGGTAACATTGAGAATTGCCCATAGCTCTTCCTGCCTTTGGCCCTCATACTGTATTAGAAAGCATCACAAAGTAGAAAGGTAGATAAAGATCCCACATTTGAAGTTATACAGAGCATTAATTAGACTCTCATTATTATTTGAAACTAAAAATAGTTTAAGATTGATGGTGTGTTTGTAATCCATAGCAGTTTTCTCCCTTCCTTGCTATTTATAACAACTCTGGTTTCCTCTGTAACTAAGTCTGTCTCCTCCTATAAAAGAGGAAGTCAGGCTAAGTCTGCTCCTGAGCTAAGATCTCCTGAGTCTGCACCCCAGGAGAGGCTCTCTAGAGCTCTGAGCTCCTGTTGCTGGGCAGAACTGGGCTCAGTCTCCAGGTGGGCATTGGAAGATGTGGCTGGACTATATGCCAGCAGGATGGGCTATGCCTGTTCTCCCATGGAACCATGCATAGCTGCTGGGGTGTGGCTGGGTATTAGGACTGGAGATCCAGAATGCTGTATCTTCCACTCCTATAACTTTTGCTTAATGCTTAGAGAGTTTTTGTAAATGCCAATGCCCAATGCTAACCCTGAAGAAGATAAAAGGAAACAGAACTCAAGTTCCGGCCACTTTTGGGAGACATTTCCAGGGCCTACAACTATCTCTTAGGTTTTTAATTTGTTCCTATAGGGTTGTTGTTGAGAGCTGAGTGTCCTGGGAGATCTGGGCATCCCAGATGGCTGCCCCAAGTTGCTGCCGGAGTATTTTAACTACAGTAGTGTGGGAGCTTCCTGCCTCAGAGAGGGCTCCCCACACCTCCCCCAGGTTCCCATCTGCCCAGACGCCCACAGCTCCTGTCAAGAGAAATGATGGAAGAAGCCCCAAGATACCTGGGGGAAGGGCCTCAGCTCAGGACAAGAGCTGGGGCTCCAACCTCAGTCCAATCAGGGAACTCTCAGGGCCACTCATGGTTGTGTGCATGTGTGTGTGTTTGCCTGTTTCTGTGAGACAGTGAGGAAAGATTTGGGGGTGGGGGAGATATGCACATGGGTAGCTAATCCTGAGAAACTTTGGGGTCTGGGAAGGAGGGAAAGAAAGAAGAAAAGCTGGAAGGGGATAGAGGTGGTGGGAGAGAGGGGGATGGGAAAAACCAAAGAGAGGAAGCAGTGGCTGTGCTGAAGCTGGACAGAGACCGAAAAGGACAAGTCTTGTCCTAAACTTCCTCTGACCCACCTAACCTAAATCTCCCCACGCTGTGGTTTAAGCCTCTTTCCCACCTTGGTTCTCTGTCTAGCCTCTGAGCAGCAGAGTCCAGGAGTGACGTCAGGATGCTGGCTGCCCTGCTGCTTCCTGGTGGCCCAGGAGGGAGCTACTTCTGAGTAGCCAAAGTCCTGAGGCTCTGACATTTAGGAGGCCTGAGTTTCCCACCCATGTGCATCCCTGCTTCCCCTGACTCGACACCCAGTGACCTGGAGGGATGCAGAGGGGGTGGGCAGCAGCTCTGGAGGCATTTCCCAGCAGTAGAACTGTGAGTCAGAAGGGTCATCTGCTATCGGAAGTCAGAGGGGACCTCCTGCAGGCAGGAAATCAGAGTTGGGCCCCAGAGAAGTCCAGAGATGAGTTGGCGGGAAAGTAGCTCTTCAGAAAGCAACATTACCGTCCGGGAAGGCTGAACCTGGAGCCCGCTATGCCTACAGGAAAAGCCTGGGCCAGCCGAGCTCCCTTCTGCCTGGGCATCACCATCCCTTCCGCCTTGGCATCACCATCGCTTCCGCCTTGGTGGTCATCTGGGAAGTCTGGAACAAGATATACAAGTTCAAATCCGGAGTCTGTTGCTTATATGCTGCAATTCATACATGTGAGGCTCAGTTTCCCCATCTGCAAAATTTAAAAAGAATAAAAAAGCTTATTTCACAAGGTTACGGGGATAAAATGAGAATATGTGCATAAAATACCTTGTGTAGGTGGTCCATATGTGTTAGTCTCCTCCCCACGTCTTATTTTGGTTGGAAGATGGGGAGGAATGTTGCAGGATCTGACTGCAACATTCTGCTAGCCTCCTGGTCCAGGAGAGGTGATCCCCTGGCCCCAGAGACAGCTTCCTCTAGATTCAAATGCTAATAAAAGGTCCAGGATCCCACCAAGACCTCCTCTCCAGCCTCCATCCTGGGGGCACTGCTCGCAGTGCTCCTCCTGTTTGCCATGGGGATGAAAAGGATGTGTTGATTGGCCCTTGAAATTTGCTCTTAAAATTATCTTTGGTTTTGATTTGACCTTAATAGGTCAAGCCAAACAGGGATCTGAGCTACTGCATGAAGCAGTTATTGCGGGGGGTGGTGGGTTGCGAGTGGAGGAGAGAAGGGGAGGAAGATGGCACCAACAGATGCATCCTCAGACCCCAGTCCACACCCTTGCCAAAATCTCTGACATGGTTTCATCATCTGAGGGTGATGTAAGAGGCCTGGAGTCAGACTCCCCTTGCTCCCCTCCCCCAGAGAGCCCCATCCACATCTGGAGCTGCAGCTGGGTCCTTCTCTTGGGCCCTTTCCAGGGGAGGGAGCTGGGTGAAGTGAGGGCAGCTGGTGAGGGGCCCTGTGAATGGCCCCAATGTTGGGAGGCAGGGGGCAGGGAAGAGGCCTCTGGGCTCAGAGGGAGGGAGGTGGACTGGGAAGGGAATTGTGACTTTGCAGCATTGGTCTCCTCCTCCATCCAGGCCCAGTGTTAAAGTCTCCATGGTCCTCCTTGTCCTTTATATCCATTCCTGCAGGCAGCTGCCCTCCTTCTTCCCTTCCCCACCCACTTCACCGCCCAGCCTCTCTACCCAGGTGCTCGGAACTGAGGGCCCCCTTTGTTCCTTCCTTTCCCCCAGGGCAGCTCAGGCCTTCCACACTGACCCTCTGGCCCTACTGCCACAACAAGCAGAGTGTGAGCCAGGCCCAGTGGGGTCATCTGTGGGTCATAAAGGTCAATGGGACAGTCGTCTAGCAGTAGGGAGGGGCTAGTCTTGGGCTAGGAGCCTGGCCAGGAATCAGCTAAAACACGAGCTTTAAAATGCTGCAGGGCGGGGGTGGGGGGAAATTTATTTAGGGGCTAGCAAGAACTTCCTTCAAGAAGGGTTGGCGAATTTACTGGAATAAATGCAGAAGGGAAGCTTTCCTGGCTCTTGTGAACTATAAACCGTCAATCGCTGTGAGATCCCCGGGAGACCAGGGTTCTTACCAGGCTTACCCACGAACTCGCTCTGTGACCTTCGGTAGTTCCCCTCTTTAAATCTCAGTTTCTTCATTTATGAAATGAGGGTCCCATTGAAGCTTGAGGTTCTGCCACTCCAGGAGCCAAGGTTCTAACGTGGTCTGCGTCCCCCGCCTCCACCCCCCCTCCCACTCCCACCCTCCAATCCCGCCCCCTACCCCCAGCCACCCGTGGCCGCGAGCCAAGAGGTCCCTTTAAAGGCGCGAGTCCCGCCCCCGCTGCTCATTAGGGCTTTCGATTGGCGGCTCCCGGGCTGGGCGGGGCCCGGCGCGGGCTCGGGGCGGGCTCGGGGCGGGCTCGGTGCCGGATCGGCCCCCGCCCCCTTTGTTCGCGCTGCGGCGGGAGGTGGCGGCCGGGTGGGAGGTGTGTGCGCGTGTGCCGCGCCGTAGGGAGCGGCGGGTCGCGCCGCCGGCTGTCAGCTAGCTCCGCGCCGCCGCCCAATGGCCCGAGGAGGCGCGCGGGCCCAGCCCCGGGGGGCCGGCCGCGGGTGAGCCCCTCGGCCTGCAGCCCGCGAGCATGTCACCTCCAGCCGCCGCCGCCGCAGCCTCCGCCAGCCGCGCCCGCGCCCCCGCCTCCCGCAGCCGCAGCCGCTGCCTCGGGCATTGGCCCCCAGACCCCCGCCTCTGATCCACGCCCAGACCCTAGAGCCAGAGGGCCATGGCCGGCCAGGGGGACTGCTGCGTCAAGGTGGCCGTCAGGTAGGGACCCGGGGCAGGGAAGGGGGCTCGCGGAGAGGGCTCGGGCTTTGTCTCGCGTGGGCTTTGGGCGGGGGGCGCGGGCACCGCTCAGGCTGGAGCCTGCACTCCCGGGGGAGGGGCCGGCGTGGGACGGGATGGAGGGCGCCGCGCGCTGGCCAGGCTGCCGCCGGGGAGCAGCGACCCCGCGGACTACTGCAAGGTGGCTTTGTTTGGGTGGTAATTTTGGGTCCCTCTTGGGAGCCCTTAATGATCAGAAAATCGAATAAACAAGGAAATCCGGTATTTCACACCCAGCCCTGGCCCAGGCCGGAGCGTCTGTGTGTTTCCTCTTCGCCTCCCCACGAGGCTGCTGTCTCATACGGGTATACCAGAGGGAAATTTCCCCCTCATCCACGCGAGTCACCTAGTTATGTGCTCTTGGTCCAGCTAGCAAAGGCAGCACACCCGCCCTGGGAGCCAGATCTGCAGACAAAGATCCGGTGCGGGGACCAACGAAAAACCTGGGATGATGCCTTGGCCTTCTGTGGGAAGTCAATGGCTTTCTGGGAGAATCCTGCCACTCCTGTCCCAAGAGGAGATGGGGCTAGGAAGGGAGGAAGAGGTGTATCTGAGGTGCTTCCCTCTGAGAGGGCAGGAGGGTGTGATGTGGATGCCCCATCCTCAGACACTCAGACAAAAATTGAGCAGGGGAGGGTTGCCTAGACTTATCTGGGGTTCCATTCTCAACAGCTCTGGGACTTGAGCCGGCAGAAATGAGACAGGGAGAGGACATGGCTGGGTGGGTTCTATTGGGAGGGGTACACAAAGGTGCAGGAGCAGGAAATGCTGTGAAATTGAGCCATCTGTGTTCTTTGTGCTGGGTGGAGACGCTTTACACCTCACCACCTCTCCCAGTTTTTGCTTTGGTTTTTTCTCTTTGAGAGGGGTGTATTGGCAGCAGCGTGCCAATCTGGGGCTGCTCACCAAGGTAGGGGTGTGGAAAGAACGTCTATCTCTGCCCCAGCCCTGTATGATGGAGGGGGCGGGGGATTGTCCAGGTCTAGGGTAGGTCTCTCAGGTCTCTAGATCCCTTGGGTCATATGTGACCCAGATTCCAGGGACCCGGGGAGGTTGCTCCTAGACAGAGTCAGAGATGGCAAGGAAAAAGCTTTCCTCTTCCTGCCCCAGGGCAGATGCCCCTCGCCACGGCCACCTGGCTGGCCCTCTGCAGCCCAGAGAGGAGCTGACACTGATCAGTGCTCAGCTGGAGGGAAGGAGATTGAGGCGCCCCCACCCATGCACCCTAGGCAGCACTCAAGAATCACTTGAGAACAGCTTTCCTGGCCCTGAGCAGCCAGAGAGACAAAGAGGAGCCCTGCAGGTGCCTGGTGGGCTGGCTGGGGCGGGGCCAGGCTGCTGCTGGGGCTGACATTGCAGCAGGATCTTGTGGAGGTCGAGGGAGGGTTGCATGGCCGGGGGTGGGAGTGAGAAATGTAAATATGGCATCTGCAGCAGATTGGGAGAGTCCAAGAACACCATAAAAGGGAAATGAAGCTCTGGCCCCTCTGGCCCCCACCCATTGTGAACGAGGACTGGGAAGGAAGGGGCTTGGGGGTGCCCTTTCCACGGGGGGGGTTTCCTTTAGATTCCATCTTGCTGGAGAGAGCTAAACAAAGGCCCCCACCTCTGTTGAGGGTCTCCAGGCTGGACTGGGGTGAAAAGATGTGGGTCTCCCACCCGGGGAGCCTCATGGGATTGGCACAGTGAGGATAAGCTGATGTTCTCTTCCCACTGCCACCTCTAGAGGCTTCCCGGGACCCTTTCTGCAGAGAAGGGATCATGTCTGCCCTCTGCACCCAGTTCACGGCGATGTGTGTCATCTCTGGTTCCCAGTCAGATTGCCCTAAGTGGGGGCAAAGTTGCTGATCTGTATGGGGGGTGGGGCATTTGAGCATCAGAAGTCAGTCTTGCAGGGTATCCGGGAAGGTGAGGGTCCCACCCACTCCTCCCCTCCCACCCCAGCATGAGCGCCCAGCCCGGGCACACGCCAGACCTCAATGGGCAGCCGGCCGTGGAAGGCAGACGATGTCTGGACAGAACCCAGTTTCTAATCAGAGAGCTTAGGACTGAGCTGGGGCTGGGCTGGGCTGGGAAGGAGAGCAGATGGTGCCAGTGACGGGCTGTAGGGGGAGTTCTCCTTGTTTTTAGATCCTCTTCTACCCCTCCTCCCCTGCAGCACCACCAGAAATCACTTCTCTCACCTGAAAGACTGGGTGGTGGGCTGCACTAGAGTAGAGCATTTATGGGAAGGGCAAGGCTTGTCCAGGGTCTAGTCCAACCCCAGGGCTCACTACCTCCTGCCAGGTCTGGCTGTCTTTCTGACTTTATGGAAGTCCTTTCTTGTATCCAACTGAAGTGCTTTCTGAATTTCCATGAGAATAACTTGTAGCGAGCCTGAGTCCAACTCTTCAGACAAGGAAGACCAGGAATGAGACAGGCGTGGTCTGATGTGTGTGTGCGTGTGCGTGTGTGTGTGTGTGTGTGTGTGTAGGAGAGAGGCCCCAGGACTATTAGACGAGGTGAGAAGTGCCAGGCCCAAGACTCTTGGCCTTGCAATCTGTTTGGGATGAGGAGATCGAAGCTGGCTGGCTGTGGAATGCTTCAGTGAAGGCCTGGGCTCCTGGAGAGCCGGAGGAGGAAACTTTCAGGACCTGGGTCTGGGGTAAGGGAAGAAGGTCCAGGGGTGAGCAGACCCCAAAAGCCCTACCTCGTGGCCTCCCCAGCTAGATGGAATCTGGCCCATCTGTCCCTGAACCCAGGCTAGTCGGCTTTGCACCAAGGGATTCCCAGGCCGGCCTCTCCAGCCTGCCCTGTGATCCCTTTATCCATTAATCCCCTTGTACTGTAAAGATTCTCAGCTTCCTGGGCTGGACTAGAACTGGCCGTTACCTGGGGGAGGAGGTGTGTAACAAGGCTAGAGAGAGGTGGGGCAGAGCTGTGACCTGCCCCAGGCTGCAGAGATACAGGCCTGACAAATGTGGGGAGAAAGGGGTAGCTGTTAAGAAATGCAAGTTGGCAAAATTAAAATTGGGGAAGGAAGCCAAGTCACATGGAAGTTTGTTTAAGACCCTTTCAAGTCCCCAGCTCTGAGCCCCCACCATGAGAGGAGACCTCGGTGTTGCCTAGCCCCCTCCCCTCTTATCTCTGCCTGGCTTCCCTAAGCTTCCTTCCTTTAGTCTGCTTGGCAGTGCTTGGCCGGCCCAGCATCCATCTGTTGAGACTACAGGGTTAAGTAGGGGATAGGGAGGGGTTTGGGGGGGGTGGCCCAAGGGACCCAAGGGACAATGTTAGATTGTACCCCTGCCCTCTCCCATTTGGGTTCTCTAGCTGCAGTTATTTCCCTAGTTCTAGGTTACTCTGAAATCTTGGTCAATGACTGTCTGAATGTTGAACCAAGAGCAGTGGTGGCTTGGGAGAGAAAGACTAAAGAAGATCGAAGAAACTGTAGGGGAATGGGCATTTGGGGTGCCTTCCGAGTCCCAAAGCCAGTCAGTGCCATTCAATGCCACCTGTGTCCAGTTTACAGCTCTCGGAAACTGAGGCCCATATAGGGCCTCATGTAGGCTGTGTGGAGACCTGAGAATCTTGGTGCTGGCCTCCTGCTGCAGAAATAGGGTTTATGTCATCATAAGGAAGTGGAGTGTAGTAACCACAGGCCCCGGAAACCTCCCCCTCCACCACCCAGCCTGACTGCCTGATTGGATCTCAGCTTTTGAAAACCTCCAAGTGGAGGTGGGGCGGGGCCCAGGCCGGGGCCAGGGAGGTGGCAGAGGTGATATGTGCCTGGCATGCTTATTTTTGCAACCCTGGGGGCAAAGGGCAGAGCAGGAGCTGATGCAGTTCATCTACTGGCTGCGTCATGGGCGCCTTCCCTGTTTGTCTTTGTGGGCCTCAGTTTTACCCACTGGAAAATGGGAACAGCCACTGTGTTCTGGTTTGTTCATTTGTGAAGAGCAGTGGCTTGGAGAAAGACAGACATAAAATCTTTGGAGGGAATAAAACGCAGAGTAGCTTCCTGAGGAATTGAATATAAATAAAATATTTTTTAAAAAATAGGCCCTAGGCCAGGCGCAGTGGCTCATGACTGTAATTCATGCTTTCGGATGCCGAGGCAGGTGGATCACAAGGTCAGGAGTTTAAGACCAGCCTGACCAATATGGGGAAACCCCGTCTCTGCTAAAAATATAAAAATTAGATGGGCATGGTGGCATGCGCCTGTAGTCCCAGCTACTCAGGAGGCTGAGACAGGAGAATCACTTGAACCTGGGAGGTGGAGGTTGCAGTGAGCCAAGATTGTGTCACTGCACTCCAGCCTGGGTGACTAAGCAAGACTCCGTCTCAAAGATAAAATAAAATAAAATAGGCCGTAATGTAAGTGTACCTAAGAGATGTCTCTGTAGTTTAAGCTTCAGTGAACTATTTAGTAAATTGAATTTACCCCCAATCCTTTGATTAATATATTAATTTAGAGCAGAATGCACAGTGTGATGGAGAGGAGTATGAACCAGGAGGTAGCTAAGCACTATAATGTATTGAACACTTACAGTGCCTGCAGCATCCTATTCAACTGGCCAGATGACTGATGTTATTCCCATCATATACATGCGCAAACACAGGTGGTACATGGAGGAGGCTGGATTTAAACTCGGTGTTCTCAGTTGTGAACACACGCTCTTCATGCAGCTCTAGGCTGCCTCCTAATTGAGGTGGTAATTAGCTGTGTTCTTGAAGTCTCTATGCCTCAGTTTCTTCAAATGCTTTACTACATGCAGTGGCCGTAAACATGAATGTGGGAAAGTGAAAATGGGAAGGCACATGGTGCTGTGCAGATGTGTGGCAGGGCTGAGGCTGTCCAGATTCTCCGGTATGGGATTGCTTAGCAGCGTGGGACTGCCTGGCACCACCATGGTCCTAGCTCCTAAATCCGTGCTGTCATCATCTGTGTTTGGGGAGCTTCTCCC